TCACGCACTACGACCCGACGCTGCCGATCGTTGTTGCTGCAGATGCTTCCAACCACGGAGTTGGTGCCGTCATCTCACATACTTTTCCTGATGGGTCTGAAAAGGCGATCATGCATGCATCTCGCACGCTAACCCCTGCGGAAAAGAACTATGGGCAAATAGAGAAAGAAGCTCTAGCCCTCGTGTTTGCCGTCAAGAAATTTCACAAACTGTTGCACGCTCGCCACTTCACGTTGTTGACGGATCACAAACTATTGCTGTCAATCTTCGGTTCGAAGAAGGGCATTCCCGTCTACTCAGCCAGCCGACTTCAGCGATGGGCAACCATCCTCCTTGGCTACGATTTCGACATTCGCTACTGTCGTACTACAGACTTTGGTCAGGCTGACGCCCTTTCTCGCCTCATCAGCAATCAGCAGGAACCGGAGGAAGATACCGTGATTGCAACTATTTCGATTGAGGACGATGTGCGCCGTCAGCTATCAGACGCCATACGAGGTATCCCCGTCACTGCCGCGGACATCCGACGTGCTACTGAACAGGACCCTGTCCTCCGCCAGGCCATCACCTACGTGCAGACCTGCTGGCCAACCACTGCTCTCGCTGGCGATCTTCGCCAGCTCTTCCTCCGCCGAGCATCACTATCTGTGGTTGACTCCTGCCTCATGTTTGCAGACCGTCTGGTGATCCCATCTTCCCTCCGACCCACTGTACTACGCCAGTTCCATGCGGCTCATCCTGGTACCAGCCGAATGAAGTCTATTGCTCGCAGTTTTGCCTACTGGCCGGGTATCGACGGCGACATCGACGACCTGGTTCGACGCTGTTCTCGATGTCAGCAAGCTGCCAAGATGCCGCCTCGTCAACCGCCAGTACCCTGGGAACCACCAGAGCGGCCTTGGTCACGCGTGCACATCGACTTCGCTGGCCCACTTAACGGAGTCTCCTACCTAATCTTGGTTGACGCCTACTCGAAATGGCCCGAGATTGCTCCGCTGAATCCAGCAACCGCATCTTCCACTATCGCCTTCCTACGACGCATCTTTAGCCAACATGGCTTACCAGAAGTCCTGGTTTCAGATAATGGCTCTCAGTTTACTTCGTCGTCGTTTGAGGATTTCTGCCGCCAGCACAACATCCAGCATCTTCGCTCCCCGTCCTACCATCATCAATCTAACGGTCAGGCGGAGCGTTTTGTCGACACGTTTAAGAGAGCCCTCTTGAAAGCTCGTGGGGAGGGGACCACGGACGAGATAGTCCAGGCATTCCTGTTTTCCTACAGCACAACACCGAACCCGGCGTCCCCTGGTGGCGTTTCTCCTGCCGAAGCGTTGATGGGCCGAAAACTGCGTACAACTTTTCATGCCCTCGTCCCTACCGGTGCGCAGTCCGCGCAGACTTCTCTAGTCTCTCGCAGCAAGCTCTCCATCGGAACGCCTGTCTTCGCCCGTGATTATCGAGCGGAGTTCCCAGACTGGATTGAAGCAACCGTGGTAGCGCACAGAGGCAGGATGTTGTTTGACGTCGACGTTGGTGGTGAAATCTGGGTTCGTCACCGCAACCAGGTCCGACGGCGACATTGCAGTAACACAACTGGGCTCGATCCGGCGCCGTCACTCCCCCTTGACATCCTACTGGATACCTTCGCCATTCCGGCAGATCGGTCGGTTCCCGAACCCACTGCTGCGCCTCCTTCGGATGTACCGCCTTCAATATCAGTCACTGCCCCCGGGTCTCCAGACAACAAACCACAACTAAGACGCCGAACCAACCGCGTGCGCCGATTAACAGTGCCGATGCAGATCAATCCACGCCAAAAGCGGTACTGACCCACTTGGAGGGGAGGTGTTGGGAGTGCCTACACTCCCAAAAACAGGAGCAAACCAATCAATGGAGATCACGTGCGTTTGCTCTCTCTCTACCGCGCTGTCATCTCAATAAGGCGCTTTCCCATTGGCTACTCCCCTCTTCCCGAAGGTCATTGGACCGAGTGCCGGCGAACCACGCTAGCGTGTGATAAATATGCGTCACCCTTAGCTAGACTTGCTAATACGTGTTTGCTAATACACGTTCCGTGGCCAGCCGTGTGTTCTTTGTCTGCTGCCTTGATTGGGAACCAGGGTCGAGTGCGCATACGCTCCACGGAATTTCAAGTACCAGGCGGGTCATAACAGTTTCATGAAATATTCTCCAGACGCTAAAATGAAATGACAATGTATGTAGATAAGAGCTCGAATCACTTCCACGTACAATGTGAACTGGTTTGAAAGCAGGACAATCAGAATCTGCCGTATCTGCAGAAGGTAGTGTCAACTGGAAAGCGACAGTGGAAGAGCATTCGATTTTTAGAAACGAAGCTAAAACTATAGGCGCGTACAGATACGTTGACATAAAACACATGACAAAACAAATGCGCACCGAACCCACCCCCCTTCCATGTCCCATTTCAGAAGGTCGAGGCGAAAGAACTTCTTAGAAGACAACACCACTAGGCCGATTCGGGGAACTTCTCGACAGCAAATGTTCACGCATTGTCCTCGACAAATCCCGCCTTACGCGTGTAAAATAAAAGGAGGCTGCCCACACAGACCACAATCATATGCATAAGCTCATTTACTTGTTACTGTGGAGCGGTTTATATTGGGGCACACGTCGACGTTCTTCCATAGGAATACGGTAACATTTGTCGGTTTGTCTGGGTAAAGGTACAATTAAGATCATGCGCAGCTCTACTCTCGCACACATGGTTGAATATCGGCAACCTGCGCACGCACTATGTCTCCCGTGTGGCTTATGAGGTCCCATCGTACCAGCATAAACAACTGTATCAGCGCCTACTAGAAACAGCCAAAGCGAATGTCATCAGGCAACAATGATCGGTCAGGTGCTCACGGGAAAATCCCTTTCAAGCTTCGCGTCCTCTGTGGCCAAAGAATAATGAATTGCATGTATATCTCCGCACCAGCCGCTGCCGCTAACTGCCTTCTATTTGTTCACACGCCCCGCTTGTTTGCAAAAACACAGAGAAATCGACTCGTCTTATTGCTTTCACATTTCTGTGTGTAATTCACTCCCATACAAATGTACTAGCCAGACGAGATTTTATTGAGTGAACGCGTATACTCGCCAGATTGTCTTCTGGAGGGCACATCTTTAAAATTATGTCTGAAGTGCCAATTGCAATAACCATCATTTCGACTGTAATCTCTATAACACATGACTAAATGAAATGTTCCTAAGATGTGGTTTAACGTTTTCGTGTTTTTGAACGTCACTATGAGTCAATGTTCCATAAAAAACCCGTAGCCTGATTCCGCATTCCTTGGCTAACCTTGATTATATCATCAAATTAAAGTATATTTTGCGGTATGTCAGAAACATATAGCCTTAAGGAGAACTCTACCACAAATAAACGATTCAAAAATTGGTGGATGTATAATGTGTTGTTGCCAAACCTTTATATTTCTTTAGTAGACATCTGAGATTTACATGCTTCAGATGAATGTTAAACAGGTCTTTGTCTAGAGCATCATATTTATACAGAGTATGGCTGATTACCCGCCTGAAACCCAGACATGCTTTGAGACGACTCTCGTCTAGGTCAGGTACTATGCAAAATGAGGGATTTATGGTCGCAGTGTCAGAGGAAGTAAAGCGACTCACTCAATTCATCCAGCGGGTCATGACACAAATGATTCTCTGGCAGAAAAACAGGAAAATGTCCGATATCGTTCATTCAGTTGGGGCGTCTGGAGCCTATTTTCAGAACGCGGTTGCTGTAAATTCTGATCGGTTGATCTGCCAACGCAGGAAACGCTAAACCATATTTCGAAATGCTTTTCAGCTTGTGGTTTTTTAGTCGCTTTGGGGTTCCGGCTCATTAAAATACTGCATGTAATAATGGTCAGAATATATTACGTGTTGTTATTCCATATGAATTTGTGTTTTCCTCATAATATTAAATATATATTGCTTTTGAAACATCACTTGACAAGGACCGACACAAAGAAACTGTGTGGCTACATTGCGTGACGGAGGCAAGCGCAGTAGGACCTACGCATCAGTATGGTCTTCCAAAATTAATCTTAACATGTACAAATGCAGTCGAGTGTCGATAGTGAAAACAGTATCTGATTAACTGTAAAATCAATGTGTCTAACGAGAAAATTTTGCAATGATTTAAACATATTATCCGGGAAGCAGAGAAGTGAGAGTTTATTTTTAGGCCTTTGCGTAGATTCTGTTAAATACAAAATTTGTTGTGTATTCTTAAAACCTTCTGTTGGGATATTGTTATATAGCCCCACGTGAATTACTCAACCCTAAGCCCCTTTTAATACGGAACTGTTGGGAACAGGGGTTTGGACAACACAGCTAATTAGGCCAAATAATTGAATGCTAAAGAAAGGCTATTAGGAATGCGAAATCGTACGTTGTATGGTTGAGAAAATGTTGCATCAACCCCTAAATCTAACCCCTCACTACAACCCCTAGCCCTAACTTCAAACTCCTTGCTCTAACCCTAAGCCTTTTTCCTCGATCCCAACCTTGCTTCGTTCATCAGGTGGGGCTACCAAACAACATATCACCGAATTTTTGTAAAAAAATATAGTGCTCTATTATGACCGGCAAAGATGACATTTGACGTATTTGCCCCTTATCACCAATGGTTTTGGCATGCAGCATTAAACATAAGTGATTTGTTCAGTTGTGCTAACTATCAAATGCCAACGGCTTAGGCTCAATCAGTTTTTTGGAAAGTCCTGCTACAAATAAAACAACGAATTTCATGGCGAACCATCAAGGATATTCGCGTTACGTTTTATCGCTAAACAGGAAATATCTTTTGAGGTGTTTATTAATCTGCTCGCGCAATGGGACTTCCTCAAATTTCACTATGAATATGCGTCAAGGACTAGTTTAGTAGGGCGGTGATGTAAGCGAAGTCTAGTTGGCAGTAGGCTGTACACGGGATGCGGACAGCGAATCCAAACATTGACAGTTTTTAGTCGCCATGTTATTGCATGTTATTTAACTTCTCACAGCCGACGTCCTTGATCGAGTTCGAGCTTTTCATAAAACCACAAATTAATATAACAGACAAGGTGGATAAAAGATTGGGGAACTATCTCTGGTCGAAACGGTCGACCTCCGCCGCGGATGTCAATCCTAAATCCAATTAGTAAGCGTACTAGAATTTTGATACGGCGTAGGGTCTGTAACGTACCATAAGCATCAGGACCAGACGCTTATGGTGTAAAAAGCTTTCATTTCTACATTTATTGCGCGTGAGGTAATATTGCAGTTCTTCAGCGTAAAAGCATGTCCAAACTGCGGAGCAGAATTTGATAGGCGGTCCTCGAAAAAGGAGCTGTCATAAATCTTCGAAATCCATTTAATCCTCAGGCGTACTAGCGTATTAAACAGAGTAGAAACTGCAGTGTAAGTGAGGCATCACGATCACCCAAGTGGAATGTGACACAACGTTGTTTACAATCTTCTAGTGTGTAAGACGTTGCCCACATAGTTCAACCGCATTTGGACTGTCTGTTTTTGCAGCTGACAGGCCAAGGGTTCAGACGTTAAAAGCTACGCCAGGACATGGGCCGGAATGAGTGTATTTTTCTATCCCATACATTAAATGGATCATTTATTTTGACACCTAAGCCTAAGGAATCAACATGCAAGTTGAACGACGTAAAGGCAAAAGCCCCAGGAATTGCAGTTTCATAACTTTTTAACGACTGTTATATAAGGCTGCACATTAATGAACTGTACTTTTTTACAGAAGGAGATCCGCGGATTTCGAATTCTCTCCCCGTCGAAAACGTGGATTAACTTCAAATTATATTTTGATGCCTATCCCACGTCTAGCGAGTTGTCTAAGTATGAGATGCTGCACTTCACTGGCATTTTATTTAACAACATCCATAGCAATTACGCTGTGAAGCAAAGGCAAACTGGACCACGCGTTAGCACACCATGGAGACTGCATGTTCTGCAATCACTGAAAAATTTTGCGAACGATGTAATAAATAATCTGATGACATTATCATGCATTGTGCACCTCCGTCTGTGCGCTACTGACTGACCTGAGTTACCGGGTGATGCGCCTATCTCTCCCCCGACAGTTTGGAACTTATTGCCATAGTTCGGCTTCGGTATTTACATTTTGAAACACGCCTGTTGATATAATACTCCGAAAATAAATTGTTGGAAATGAATTACTCTGGAAGTTTTTATCGATGTTGTTCCAAGTTTGGTCAGATAATCTGCCACCTCTGGTGGTTTTAGTTAGCGGAAAATAGTTGTCTTTATACATGTTCTTACTACTCGCATTCGCGAATCATTTATGTAATATTCTAATTTCTTTTTTTCTTAGATAATCTACTCCACCGCCCATTTAATCACCTCGTTGTTTAGACGATTTCAACAGACTTTTCTGTTTCCGGTAAAGAAGACGCTCAGTACCGGGACTCCGAGCAAATTAACCCAATATTTGTTCGCTGCAGCACATTTTGAAAATAGGAGAGGTAACAGATATACGCACGCAGGAATATGCTAAAATCGCAATTCCCGGATTAGCTTACAGACACTACTACATAGTACCTACGCGCGCTAAGACATTTTGAACAGGCTTTGAGGCAATTAGCAAGGGAGTAACCGATGAGAGTTCCCGTTGTTCGTTCTTGAAAAACAGGAGCCGTTGAAATGGATTTTCATATCACAATATGAAGCAACATGCACTCTTGCCAGAAAAACTGCTCATGGTATCTTCCATCACTGCGGTTTAAAAAATGACAGTATAAAGTGTCGAGGATGACGGTTG